ATTACCAAACCTCAAATCTTTCCTTTTCAAAGCATACCAAGGTAGTGAGTCATAGCAAGTTAGAGATAAGATGACCATGACTACACTCAGCGGGTAGTAAGTAAGCGTAACACGAAGGCAAGGATGGAGACGCGCTAGACATTGTCTGTGTCTGCACCGCCACAAATATGTCAAGAATTACAAATAAGGCGCTTAGCTATCTATCAAGCTAGTTGGTAGTCTCTAGCTAACTATAGCACTGCTGTGGATTACAGTCTGATGACATCCGACATCGCTATGATCACCTCCAGCTATAGCAGACTAGAGGAATACTTCTATCATAGTCTGTCTCTCTCTCTCTTTCTATTGTGAAGTGCTTTTGTCTGTCTGGCTGTCAACTAAGCATCACATTTCTACCATCACCCCCCTCCCCTTGCTGCGATTGTCAAGACCACTTCTACTATTACCAATTCTCGGCGTTCTCCCACGTTATTATACTCACCCAGACTTTTCACCAGCCATCTTCCCCTCAATTCGTCCCGACCCCTGAGCTTTCCCCCATTTCAATGGGGACGCCTTCGCCTCGTCTCGTCCTTCTTTGCGCAGGCGATTGACAGGCGCTGCGTCCTGAACTGCAGCCCTTGCTGACTGGACGACGACCTCACTGGAGCATATCGAAATGCCATCGTCGTCTTGCAATAAGAGCAAGTTTAGCAAAGGTGGCAGCGGTGATGGCAGAGTAGGCGCAGGGCAGTTGCAACTATGGGCACCATGGAGACGATACTCCGCATCGCGCTAGTAAAGCTCGTTTGATACTGCTCCCTAGCGGAATCTCCAGAATGGGGATCGAATAGAGACGTCCGTTTGTTCCGCACTGACCGACAAGAAATGTCAGGCTATTGGTCGTAACGGACAGCATTATACTACTATTATACGATAATCTGGTCACGAGATCAGTTATGCTGAGACCAGACTGACGGGCAATCGCTGTTAACTGCTGCTCGATGCTTGCGAGGGCAAGCATCCCTTTACGAGTCTGTGAAGTGGACGAAGTATACGGGGCAGTGTTTGACAAATGTTTAAAGTCTAAGTATATACATATATGCAATACTTTGTGTCTGTATGAGTCCATTTGGGCTTAATAAATTTCGTACTGACTAGCTGGATGAACGAGCCAAGAAAAAATCGATCGCTGAAGTAGTTTCATTATAGTGTAAACGTTTTTTAGCGCTACCAAGCGTTCCGTCTGATGTTAGCATTGAGCCGAATGCGTTTCGGACCGCCGAACGGACTACGAATGCCCGAAAGCTTGGTACTATTCTCCATCCATCTAGGCAGAATCGTATACGGATTCAGCGCTCGACGGTCATAGTAGCAGCAGTAATAACAAGCAGCCGCGGCCTTGTCGAATTAAGGAGAGTCGACTGCTGCAATTGAGGCTGTTGGGTGGAGGTACTCGTATGCGGGCTAAGCGGAAGTGCGGGACAGCAGGAAAGACTGCAACTGGGGGTGCAGGGGGCAACATCGCAAAGGAGAAATAGCAGCGGGCAAGGTTAGCTCGCCATTGCTGATATTTGGATCCAGCGGCTTCGTTCGGCAGCAGAGGCTATCGATTACTGCTTCTAATTCGCTGCTACGGCCTCTACTCTGACTTCTACCGCTGCTCCTGCGGACCATCGAGATTTCGAGGAATAAAAATCACTATTCAATATGTGTACTCAATGCACGAAGGAACAAAGCGCTGGAAATAAAGAGAATGACTGAAGAGGCAATATAGGCACAGTGGATGGCTCTCTGAACTTCCACCACCGACAGGCCCCTGCTACCTAACGTTTAAGCAATGAGAAACACGGCTCTGCCAGAAGAGTCACGCAGACAAAGCAGCCATGCACACACGCACGCATACGCAAAAGCTGCTACCGTTGGAAGAGCGCAGACAGCCGCGCCTAGAGAACACCGAAGGCACCGAAACGAATGCGAGACAAGAGAGCTGGCTGGCTGGCTGGCTGGCCAGCTACTGTGCGCGACTTCCCGTGTCAGATACAAAGGAGCAAAGAAAAAGTGAATGAGGTGGTAAAAAACGAAAAACTATATATCCTGGCCGATATGCGTCGCTAGCTAGGCCGCCGCACCGGCTGCTGGCTGTGACGTTGTAAGGAGGGAAAATATGACTATAGCTAGGATAGTGGAGTGGTCCGTAGGCCCACGCAGTCAGCGGATGGGCTCAAATCGGCGAGCCCCATGGTTTACTGTAGAGAGCGTGGAAAGCTGGAAGACAACGAAGACGACTGGTCAGAAAGGTATAGTCTGCGCGGGGCGTCGAGTAAGACCGGGCCGCATCGTCACGGAGGGTGGCTTGCAAATTCAACAACAATGTTACGAGGAGTCGCATGGGCGGCAGCTTGCCGAACAGCCGTTGCCCTGTGAGTTTCCTCAAAAAATTGCACGCATTGCTTCAACGCATGGTGGCTGCCGGTCAGTACCAGCGGGAGTGGTCGTACCGTTGTTGGTAGTGATGGTATGCTTCTTCTAAAGCCATATTCATCCGCGCCTATATGTATGTATGTATGAACCATGTGTATCTGCGTGCACGGCAAGGGCACTTTGCATTGACGTAGACTCAGGCGTTTCTTATGGACCCATCCAAGTTCAAATATGTATGTATATAGTGTTTATGTATATAAATATTCCCCATGCACTTGGCCATAAGTACGTAGGCCATATGAGAGAGAGAAATAGAAAATCTAATTCTTATACTTTCCTACTCCTCTATCATTTTCTCCCCCCATCCTCGCCACGCTTTTCAGTTAAATGGCTCTCGCCATTTCCTCTCGTCAGCCTTAACCCAATTTAGCGGTGGCGGCTCTGCTAATGCCGATGCTAGGAAAAGTGTCGGTCTGCCCTACTAGAGTAACTGCGTTTTTGACATGATTGCACGCAATAGCAGGAGAACTCGAGAGAAGAGGATACTAAAGGGAGCAAACAAGTAATTTGCTGTTTAGCTAAGAAACGGTTTCAGTGGCATTCGCTCGTAACTATTAGCCCTTTCTTTTCCTACAAATATAAGAGTGTATCGGAAGAATAAGCCTGGGCTGCCTCCAGACAATGTAGTTCCAGCTTGCCTCACACTGTTTTGAACTCCACCGCTTCTGGTGCGCGCTAAAGCTGACGCGCTTCAATTTCTCTTACCGTCCCTGTCTTCGCACAGCTTTCCTGAGTCAAGTACAATACCTCGTGCTTGCCGGCCACAGTATCGGCACTAGTTACGGCGATCGAGTCAGATCGAGAATTCGTATTTTTTCGAGCGATTGATCGTGGATAAAAGCATACGCTTGTAATGGTTTACGCTAGCAACACCACCTATACAGTATATCGTTAAAGAACAGGAAGACAGTGTCACACGCTTCTTACAATATTTTGGTTACTACTCTGGTCCCATTGGTACTACTTGAAAACAGCAGTCATTGCAGTAAGGACATCTCAGCAAATGCTGTTATCATGGCATCGCTCTGGCTAGCAGTTATCGAACTCATAATGTCAGTATAGTTTGAAATTTAGTCGTCCATCGTTCCTTCAGAGGTCGTACTATATGATGCGTCCATTACCAACAGAAGCGACGAAACAGCCCGACTTCGACGAGCTGAGAGGCCGGTCGATTAGGTCTAGAAAGCTAGCAATGAAATAATTAAGGGTAAGGCGGACAGGGGATCGGGAGCGGTAGGATGGGCGGTAAGTCAGAATATTTTGTTGTAGCATATCTTTTCTGTTTACTAGCGGATAGCGAGTGGGTGTTGCAATAGTTCAGGTGTCCCAAGATGAAACCCTATGCAATGAATGGGCAGCTTATGGACGTGTTGAGTCAGTACAACGAGTCACAGTTTAAATCTGAGTTAAAAATTGATGCCCTAAGAACCAATGTTGTCGGCTGACTAAGTTCCTATAAGCAAAAGTTTCCTAATAATAGTGAGGTAGGTAAAGGCTAAAAAAAAAGCGAACGTCGTATATTGCTATAACTGTTACTGCTAAACTTTTGCTTGATTAATTCTCAATGTAAAAGAAGTCGGAAAGCTTCCGTCCTCCTGTCAATCGTAGTGTTGGGGTCAAGTCAACATGGAACGGAACTTATATTCAATGCCGTATTTGTTCGACAGGTACATATTAAGCAAAAACGCATTGATCACTAAACATTTTGATAAGAAGCTGCTATATACATGTATTATCTACGGCGCTACGAACTTACGTAGCGTGGGGGCACCTAAACAAATAAGCACAAGTTAAAAAAAAACCGTACTTGTTTTCAAAACAACAGATACGTAAGCCTGTGAAATATTGTTCATCGGTAGCAGCTGACTGATCTATTTCTTTAAATGAGTCACTTAAAGCAGATTTAGAATTTATATATCTACATGTCTAAATCAGTTTCTTCTTTCCATTTTCTATGTACTATGTGAAAGACTTTCTGCAGTTATCTGTAAATAAATTCTGTAACTTCCTGTAATATGCAGTCGCCACAGCTAGCGTATATACCACATGTGGAATCTGTACCATGGCATGTTGCTACGCCCTAACATGTATATGTCTAGGCATTATCGCATCGGCGTATTCTCGTTAATACGGTATAAAGTTTGATTGGGAGACGGTGGGGGGTTGCTCAATTAAACTTACCGGCGTGGAAGGCAGCTCGGTCCGGATGCGCGAGAGGTCCTAGCACCCGATTTACGGTGCTGCTACTACTGAACAGGTAGACACGTTCCCAGTGGCCGTGCGTCGAGCTCAGTTTCGTCCATGTGACGAGATATACCCGGCCGCAATGCGCTTCATCTATTTCACACGGAAGAGTCGCCGCACTGCCCACGAAACCGCTAGCGTTGTGCTGCCGATCTGCCACTATGAATATTGGCGTGGGTAGCGCAGACAAGCAAGCATGAATGAAACGAAAAAAAAAAAACACCGAACGAACGATATCAGCATTGTTATAGTTATTACGTACGGATTCATTGCTCAGCAATTTAGTACTTACTTGCCAACGAGACGTTGAGTCACCGAATCAGCAATAGGAACCTGTGGGGTGATTTTCGTTAAATCCCGTCCCTTTGCCTTTTGGCCGGGCGTTCTCACCGAACTTACTTCCTCGTCTCACCTTCTCGATTCCGGTTCTGGCGCTTCGCGTCGTTTTCAAATGATCGCGCGTTAATAATCTACTTCGACGATCGCTGGTCAACATGGCTGATGCTGCTGTGATTGCTGCTGCCGGCATACTGGTGGCTTTAAGCTAACAAGCAGCATTAGGTACACTGAGTACCCTAGTATGTTAGCTCGCACGAGATTATGGCCGACGTGGGGCAAATTGAGCGGAGGCTATTTTCGTTGTTCATATAATACGATAAAAGGAGATGGTAGGTAGGAAAGACGGGACATTTATCGAGGGAGTGCATGGGGGTTTCATCAAAGAGACAATGCTTAAAAAACATTATTTAGTCTTCGAAGAACATCCGCTCATTTCCTTTGTACCGGTGCCCCATTAGACTTCTAGTTCGCTTTTGATATCAGCATCTTTTCCGCTTCATCGTAGAAAAAGCCTACTAGCTCTTTGCTATTAGAGATTCGCCGTTACCGTTTTGCCTGTGTGAGGTTGCATTTGTGTCAATTTCTTAACGTATGAATAACATTTGCCGTTTAATTATCAGTTGCATCCCTTGAGTTATCTATTAGTCACTGACCTGTGACAGACATGAGGTTATTGGTGGAAAGTGGGCGTATTCATGTTGCGTGATTGAGCACATATACAGAGCTAGGTAGTTACTATTTAGTCCCTAGAATTAGAAAAATATCCATTTCAACAAAGGGGTTTTTGGCTTTTACGTGGGAGTTTGGCTCAGTCTTCAATTATAGGGTGGCAAAAGGCATACGTCAAGTGACGTTACCTTCAACTTCCAACCAAAATATATGTTAAAATCTAGAATTTAAAATATGTCTACGTTATACATAATAGACCGATGGACAGTCACCCGGCCGATAGAACGAGCTCAATTAGAGATACTCCAAGCCCAATTGAATATAGGTTTTTTTTTACTTAATTCGGATTATTGATTTCATTGTGCGATGTCGTGCGCTACGATTTACAGCGTCGCCTACGGGAACACGCTCAACTACTTGGATAATTTGTTTAGGCATGAAAACCAAGCAAGTGCGAATAAATCGATCACCTACCAAGCCAGGTTACGTTGCTACTCGACAATATTTACAAATGTTGTCAACAAACTGTGGCCTGCATACAGCCATTGGAGCTCGAGGGTGGCTGTGACTGCGAAGGCAGCGCTGCTGCGATTGCCTCAAAAGGTAGCCGGTAGACAAGTTGTTGTGACCTTCGATGGATTGGTTACGTTGTACCTTTTATTAAATTAGTTATTATGGATCTTATTATGCGAACTATTATGTACTTTTGGGAAGTACCAAATCGCTTACAGTGAACTACCCGAGAATACTAATGGAACTTCGATCAGAAAATTAACTTTGAATAACTAACCGACAAATCCAGACTGTTTCAGTTTGCCTGTGTCCCTGTAGATTTGAATGAGAAAACGTACAGTTCCAAATCGATCTTCTTTGTTTGTTATCCTCTAGTTCCAATTCCAGAGCTTCGACCCATTCGTGTTTTCGATTTGCCTGGTATGTCTTTGTTTATAGTTAAACTGTGCTCGAGCCTGTGAAGTCTGACTTCATAGCCGGATAGGTTTGCTCGCATTGGAAAGCTATATGGCAGGAAACCAGTGGTGAGTGGATATTTCCACAAATAACTAGTTTCTGATTTTCCTCAGACTTTACGGTCAGCAAAAGTGCCTTCTTAGGCGACGTACATCCCGTTCAGTATTATTAGACTGCCTATGTGGGTGAAATTGATTGGATACTAGCTGGACACGTCCAATGTACTATGGATTACCATTTGCAAGGATCCTATACGCTGCGTTGCTAAGCTACAAACGTTTTGACTGACGCCCGCCTACGAACAGAAGTCTTTTTTAACTCGTTTTTTTAGTATCGTTGGTTCTAAACAACCCACGTTTTAGACCTATTTTATACAGATACTCACATTTCGCATAGCTTCTCGCTAGAAGTGTAAATACTGATATAAATGTTCTATGTGCGAGAGGCCTCGTCGAATGTCATAGGACTTATCTATCTTTAAATGCATCTGCTAAATGGTAGCAAAGCAACGCTTTATATATATATATATATATATGTCAAAAGAATACACTGTGTATATATATAGTGTACTTTATATTCTTTTGACAACTCTGCCATCTAACGATGTTGCATCTCTTCAGAGGGTTTAGAAGGCACGCGATGAGTATGATTTGGAACGCTGGGGTTTAAGTAGTGCCCACGAAGACAGCACGAAATCCACTAGGAACAAGCAAAAGTTAGGAAGGACCTAACGAATATTTTCCAATTGTACGCTAAACCGGATCAATTAGTCGACGCTTGACAAGCCATGTACAAGACTGCGGGGAGCATAATGCCACCCACTGCTTACCCCCCTATCACTCGAACTGAACCGTAGCACCCGATTGCTCACATAAATGGAAAAAAAAAAAAACACTTTTGGCGAATATTTGCATCGTTGCTACTTTTGCACTCGGCCTCACAGTCACCTAATCATTTATTCAGCTTAAAACGTCTTTTATTGTTAAGATCATCAAAAATATATTTGATAGATTTAGCCACCGTGATAAACATTTAACAGAAGTTAAAACTGGGTAATATTTATCCTACAAATCAGGTTAACAAGGTGTACGCAATCTACGACATTATCATAGTTGGTATTCTTTAACGAGTTCTCACAACGCGTATTATTACAACGGCTCCTGCAATTCAGTTTAGTGATTTGGAAAGACTGCCGATGTGGAAACGATACGAGCAGTTTTTTATATTTGACATTTGTGGAAAGTTTGAAGACCCATTTCGTCCAAGAGCCTTGATATGGCTTTGAAGACGAAATATCCGCTTCCAAAATATAGATCCAACAGCAATCCACAAAATCAGTGTTTCTTCTAGGTATGGTAAATACGCTTAGCGACGATGAAGCAGTTATGGCTAAGCTTCAAGCCTTATAAAGTTGAATATGAAAATGAACCCGTTTAATGATAAAAGTCCTAAAAACTGTGTAGCCTGAAGGTTGGGCTGAAAATGTTGGCAAAAGGACTAAAGGCTGAATTGGCGAGCCACCGCGTCAGAGAAATTTATATTGTCTACAAATGAATCGTGGGTTTACTCAGATCCCAATCACGAGTTATGTTAGTGCCGGTCGTAACGCTGGTATCTTGGGTAGATCACCTTACTGCCGGGCTATTGATGCCAGCGCTACTGAGGACAAACATGCGTTATTCCAAAACTCGCCATGTCATTCAACGGAACGTGGAGACGAAGTCTGTAATTTTCCTTTATTTCTTGTCCAACGGCGTCTGTCCATAAATTGTGGTACGAATATAGAGTTACGTGTTAATTTACGTACCCAAATGATAAGGAAATAGCTGTTGTGCTAAAATTATACGTACGTAATGTACCGTTTCAGCAGAATCGAAAGAGAATAGGCTACCGAATCCTCGGTCTCGTTTGCTATCATTAGTAATTGCTTCTGTTGACAACTACAAATATATCTTTCGCTGTAAATGGACCAAAAAAGCTTTATCGCAAAAACTGGGCTACCTTTAGTTCTACATACACCCACCATGCTTTTAATTTCCACCCTTGAAAATTTGCTATTTTAATGTGACAGGTTCTATTCGACCCAATGTTCTTAATTAAGCGCCCACCTACTGTAAATGGCTGGCAAAGTAAGCCATGTTGTTTACGAACCATAATGCCACTAGGGTGTAATATATAACGTACAGCCTCTAGAATACTCGACAGGATATACGTGTTCTTCCTGAACCTTTTTTCGGGGCAGAGCTTAAAAGTCAAAAGTAGAATCCTCCCCATGAAGATCGTTTGGGCGCCTAGAAAATCTCCAAACAACACTTAACAAGATCCATTCGAGGGTAAATAACTTGATTGTTTGCCGGTGGCTTTCATTTGTAAACACTTATCGGTCCAGCTTAGCGATAAATTCGTATCAGACTTATACCTTTCTGACTGAGGGGTACTCAACAGCTTACTGATATACAATTTCGCGCCCTTACCTTTGACTAGTCGCTTTTACAAATGGGAAATGACAATCAGTTAAGATGTAGTGTAATTTCCCACTCTAATTGACACATAGTCCACGTAAGGCAATCACTTTATAGCCTGCTCCTATTAACTATCTGTTGTACTTTCTAACCGATCGAATTTCGTCGATCACTGCTAATCGACTTTTGAATAATGGCGCCAAAACGAACCGTAGATTTGCCTTTTTTCCTGTTCCGCTTCTCTTCGCTTCATTCGCCCATTCCTTTAGTACAAAGCAGTAGCGGAAACAGCCACCAACCGGCAGCCAAACGCACGCGAAATATCGTTTACGGTGCTCGTAAAGAGCTCCTTTTGTTCCTTGCTACACTTGTCCCGTCTGCTTTTTCGGGGCTCTTTGGTGCAGTGCACTCACTCGTTCGTTAGGGGTACGTTTGAAGCTTGATACGGCCTAGGATTCTGGCTGAACCGACCTGTTCTACTGTGAGAGGGGCATCTACTTCTTCTGTTAGACAGAGAGAAGGCCGCAGCAGCTGACAGTAGAGAACACAGTAATGCAGCAAACCAACACAATGCGATCACTAGGCAGACCGTTTCTCTTCTTTGTTGTTGTGCCCTTGGCCAATGCGACAGATGAGAGCGAACGGCCAGACGGGGCGACGGAAGTTTCCTGATACCTCTATATTCCCGTCGCTCCAACTCAACTCTCTATCATTCATGCC